AGATGATTGGTTATTGTTGATGTAAGGAAGAAAGATATTTTTTTTTAGGTTTAACTCTTCATGGTATGGATCTGAAATGATAATGAAAAAATGTGAATGGAATTGCAAAATAATGTAATTTAGTTTAAAAAAAGTCTTCTCTCCAGTTTCCTCTCAACATTTAAAACTTATAGAAAACTCCATCTGGGGAGTGGAATGAACGGATATTTCCTGGATTGTCAACTTTATAAAATCTCCTTACAGTTTTGCAGAACTAGAGATGATGAGAACCATCATAAGATCAGATTCTGTGACTTATTTTAGCTATTCTTACCATTCCAGTAATTTGCAATGGAAAGCAGGTGTTGAAACCAATAAGTATAGAAAACCCTAAAATAGAAAAAAAAAAGATTATTATTTTCATCAGCACCTGGTTAAACCATGCTGACATGTGCCATCCTAGCAGTGAAAGTAGCATAGTGAGAGACTACCAGAGTTAGAAGACACACATTTTGATTATAGGAAAAAAGGAAAATTTACAATTTTTAGTTAAACTATTTTTTGGGGGGAGGGGGGGAGGGCATTGCCCCCCCCTCACTATGCCCCGAACCTTAAGTGCTCCAGCATTGCTTCCTGATCATAAACCTATGACTGAAAAGCACTAGGGTGAGAATACTTCTGGAACCCGCAAATGATAATGAATTATTATACATACTTTACTTTACTGGTTTTACAGCAAAAAGAAAAAATAAAGGCTATGGGGAGAACCTGAAACAGGAAATAACTTCCCTTACAAGCAGGTTACCCAGTACATATAAAGAGAACAAAAACTACAAGAAAAATGGAATATGTATGTATATATACATAAACATATACACATGTATGCATTCATTGCAATGTGCAGAGACTCAGCTCCACCCCGACGACATTACATTGACAAAATGGACCAGAGCCTCTGTGCACTGCCACACACACATACATATATTAATTTGTCTGGCATTACTTGTATGCCGTTTTCACAACAACATCTGGGATGAAAGGCTTTAGAAAAGATGTATCTAAGAACAGAAATAGAATTACAGTTAACATTTATAATAATGAATAAGGCCCAGTTCAGACCTCAAACTTTCGTTGCATCAAATATAATTGCCTAAGAGGTCAAGCACACATTTTCTTAAGGCTGTTTTCACACTAGTGATGGAATCGGAATCAGAAGTGGAGTCGTAAGAGGAGCCTACGATTGAGTGTAAAACAATAATCAGAAGCAGAAGGGCAAAGGAATCGGAATGTTCAGAAGGTTTTCTTTTTCTTACAACTCTGATTCAGATTATGATGTTTATGATCAAGTGTGAACCAAAGAATTGGAATCAGAATCGGATGCTTTGACCGATGACAGAGCTCATGCCCAGGCCATTCAGAGTAGAAAACATGGCAGCCTCCTTTGACGAAAACCTGGTAATGGTAACAACAGAAGCAAAGTGAAGCTTATGATTCTGCTTGCAGTTTTGAACCAGCCTTTAGCCGCCGGCCTCAAAGGCAATTAGAATCAACATCCTAACTGGACCCAAGGGGTTTCTAACGAATCTCTCAGGATTGATATGGTTTTTGCTCTCCCGTCTAAGACAACCACAATTTCTCCCCCCTCCCCCCACCCCTAACATATACTTAATTTGTTTTCAATTTCTAATGGGCTTTCAGTTTTTAATGGACAAAGTACATGCAACTCTATATCCTCTCCTGACACCCTCAAGTAGAGGATATTCTGTATTTCCAATATGCTCCCTCAAGATCTTTTGATTGCCTTCTCCAAGACCCCCTAGATTTCCATGTAATAAATTCCTTTATTTATCCCATCCTCCATGCATTGGGTCCTCAATATAATTGCCCATTTATGTGGGAGCTGAGAACTGAAGATGTAGTGGATATTATCAAAATGTGGGGGAGGCTATATTTCCTCCACCCCTCCTCTCCACAGTCGCAGTTTACTAGATAAAATATGAATGATCTATATTAATTAATACCTCCATACTGGCCCATTTGTGGAGATGACAAGCTAATAAGTGTATCAACGTTGTGATCAGACGTTGTCTCTATCATCCCTCGAGCTATTATTCCACCTAGTATATTGTAATAGTAAGATACTTTTTATCAGTAAAGAAAATATCTGATTCCCAGAAGATCCACTGAATTTGATATTATCAACATTTTGCAATAATAATTGAATTTATTAGCAGCAGCTGAAAACAGAAGCATTCCCATTCACACGCAACCAACTTGTTCTTCATCAATAATGAAAAATTGAGTTTTGGTTGACATCAATCAAAGGGTTTCTTAACATTGTCACAGGATTCCAACTCTGAATTTCAAATGCCTGACTTCAAAGCTATCAAAATTTAATTGCCTGATTCTGAAGACACTCAAATCATAGGCAATACTGATAGCTTTGCAGTCAAGCATTTGAAATTCGGAGTCTGAATCCTGTGACATTTTTAAGAAAATATATACCGAAAGAGAAATTCAAAGCAACAAGAAGCATAAGATAAAGGCAATGGTGTTTGCTCGTGTATGTGTGTGTGTGTTCATGTGACAGTGACTATTCATGTCAGTCCTGGAGTAGAAACCCACAGAAACTCTTTTGATTGACATCCACCAAAACTCAATTTTTCGTTTGTGTAAAGGTCTAGTTGGTCGCGAGTGACTGGGAATCGTATTTATAATTAGAAAAAAGCAAGTGTTGGAACACGCTGGTTTCGATACATATTAAGCTCAAATAATTAAATTTCCGCTACAAGAATTTGATTACTCTCACTTTTCATTGTATAGGAAGTAAATAATTTTATGGTGACCAACAACGAAAAGAGTAAAAAATATAAAGTTAAATGGCAATAAACTAACATACATCTATATGCTCTCAAACACTTTGAGC